AAGTTTCTGTCCAATTGAAACTTGGGCGATGAGAAACTCTCCCTATTTGGTAAACTCTTGACTTTCCATAACACAATAAGAAACACATCCATTATTGCTAATAATTTTAACATCAATTTTTTCATACACGCCATTGTAAGGATAAATAAATAAAATTTAATATCAAAATTTATTTTATTGCGGAAAAATTTGTCCTTCACAATGCAACTCATTGAAAAACTTATGCGAATACATCTTTCTTAGCAATCTAATTCTAACCCTAAGTAGTAGCTCAAGAATCTAATCTTCGAGAAACGCAATCGAAATCCATTCCTTCACGGTTAGATTCTGCTCACTTCTTCCCTTAAGCTTCTTTTCTTTTCTTCGATCCTTCTAAACATCAATTGTGATCTTATCACATTATGTATTCAGAATCTAGAATGAAGCTTAAAAGAGTTAGTCAATGGATTTTACCTAAATTAGAGCCATACGTTTCGACTCTCCCATCTCTTAGATCTCTTAGCTAAATAGGGCAGCTTCATCTCCAATGCCCCTTCTCTTGGCAATAAAAGCAAATTGACTCTTTTTGGAACAACACATGGAACTACTTCAGACATCGCCTTTCTCTTATGATCAAACTTTTCGATCATTGCATGTCTTTCATTGCCATTGTCTATATCCATAGAGGTCTCGAAGGCAGATTCACCAATCAACTTTGTTTTTCTATTGCGCCAAACCATTGCTGATTCAGCATCAATAAGCATATAGGTGAGATCTATGGGGTCACGTCGTGGTTCATCATATAGTACTCTCTTACGAACTCACTATATGAGTTGGGAAGTGACTGAAGAACCCAATCAACAGCCATCTCCTCACCGACAACAAATCCTATCATTCTTAGTCTATCAATGTGCGACTTCATCCCTAGGACGTGTGCACACACCGACTTTCCTTCTTTATGTTTACTTGCCAAAAGGGCTTGAGTGATATTGAACTTTTCAATTTTACAATCTTGTGGGTTAGGGAGAATAATTGGAGGAGGAGGAGGAAGTGAAGCATGATTTCTTGTTCCTCGATCGAATCGTGGAATATCATCTTCATGTGGAATGCTTGTTCCACGGGACTTGAGAAGACCATAGTTGTCGAACTTTGACATCGGGAGAAAACGAATTCAAGTTAGTTGATTGATTGAGTCCTTGGTAAATCACCCAAATGAAATTCCAAGGCTAGAACCCAACACAATATTCTACAACTCGGGAGAGGGATGCCGTAACCCAAATTGCAGAACATTTGAAGGTAAGTGAATGACGATTCACTAATTTCCACCATGAAAAACGAAAAAGAAATTTAAGTTTTAAATCTATGAAAACTCCTAGATCCTTTGAGATTCATTGAACATTTCAATGGCATGTTTAAATCTCGATATGCCCCTCTAGTTTGTGACTGGGATGCCGAGGATCACAAAGCGGGTGTGAATAACCATGCAAACTACATGGTGCCCTCACATGTTACAATCACCTATTCGATGTGCCGGTAAACCACACACGCTCCACCGAACTATGACAAACATTGAGTCACCCTTTGCTACCTTTGCTTAGAACCATTTAGTGTGCCGGTAAACCACACACGCTCCACTAACGTCTTCGCAAGGGCACAAAGTGTAATTTCATGGAATTGCATCAATTCACTTTTGCCTAAGTAACTAAGATTGGGAATTTGCGAAACATTTAGTTACTCTGTATTTCATTATACTTATAATGGAAGGTTTCGTCCTATCCTACCCGTTCGGCTAACGACCCTCCACTAGTCAAGAGTGCGGTGGGTAAGAGTGGATACCCATTCAATCGCCATTTTATAGGCAATTTCCTTAAACACCCCTTATAGACCAACTTCGAATGAGGCCTACTAACGGTAAGACTGACTTTTACTCATACATATATATAATGTTATACCTTTAATGTTATATATAGTATAGGGTGTATTTTATACTTTTAAAATACTATATGGTTAACTTTAACAATTACACTTTTAATCCAATTAAATGGTTAACCAAAACTTTTATGGATTTATTAAACCTCTTTTAATTATACTCCTTAACTAATTAATAAAACCATAAGGGTGTGATTTGAACTTTTCAAAACATTACTAGAGTTTTAGAATTTAACATTTCTAATTAAACCTTTAATCAACTTTTAAATTCCAAAACTTGAGGGCAAGTTTTGAAACCTTTTTTCAAAACATTAGGGTTTTAATTATTTAAATTTCAAAACTCCAAGACTTTTGGGTTCAAATTTAAACTATAAAACCTAAAGGGGGAAATATGAAACCTTTCATAACAACAAGGATCAAATAACAAATAATTTTAAATTAACATTTAATCACATAATTATCCATATTTGATTTATTTAATGATTTCTTGCAAAATAATTAATCAATTTAATCAAAATAATCAATCAATTATCATATAAGGAAACAAATATTTTATTAATTGATAATTATCTTTAATTAGATCAAGAATATAGTCATATATATCATAAAATCAGATTTATATTGATCTAACATGATAAGGTAATTATCCATATGCAAAAACAGCAAGAAATCCCGAGATAAGCATTATCTGACGAGTTGACTCGTCGAGTCAGGCATGGACTCGTCGAGTCTGCATGGACTCGGCGAGTTCAGCCATGGACTCGGCGAGTCCAGCCCTCCACAACATCAAAAAATCGAATTTTTCAGTTATGTCAAGCATCAATACAATTGAAACCAATCAAGGCTCTGATACCACTGATGGGTTTTGGTCATAAGACATCCTATGTGCTCATACAAACCCTAATGCTTGGATCTAGGTTTCTCTATTGTACATGCTTTGAATCCAAGACTACAAACCCTAATTCTAGCATACATATAATCATATTAACATTAGAATAAGTTTATAGTGTTACCTTGATTGTTATGTAGCAATAACAATCCCAAATCTCCTTGTATTGACTTTGGAATGCAACTTTATTAAATCAATAAAAAAAAGTTATGCAAATTGGAAAAATAAATAAAAATATATCTTTTGTTGTTTTAATTAAGGAAATAAATATTTTATATGAATACCCACCTGGAAAAACGCATATTATAATTGTCTAATTTAATCGTAACAGCCTACCAATGTACTTTCTTCTTCACTGTTTGATTGTTTTTTTCTGTGTGCTGATTATAATTGTCTAATTTAATGTAAATTTTTTTTTTTTTTTTAACTTGCAAGGTACAATGGAACATATTACTCCTATAAAGGAAATTGACTCAATCAAGGACAATGCTATAATCTGTAATTTATCATCTTTTAGTTTAATTTTCTAAATATATGTGTGGTTGTCTATGTGTGTGTGTATCTCTTTAAAAATTCTGCAATTTCATCATTTTATGACCCCCATTTGCGAAGTTGAGTATTTATTTCCAAAAATGCGAAACTCCAGGGACAATATTTGAAAATTTCTGTTTTCTTCCCCAATTCGCATTCTACTGTGAAATACTTCGCATCTTCATTCTTACACCCTTCGCATTAATCACCTTCGCATTTTAACCTAATTAATCAAATGCAAACCACAAAATTTTCATTACAGATGCGAACACAGTTTAGTTCTTGAACTCTAAACTTGCGAAATCAAAAATTCATATGTTGAACCCATATGCGAATATTAACCCAATTGACTTCAAATTGATTCACAGATGCAAACACTCGATTGTTTTACTTTCGCAAAATGAGCATCAACAACTCCACAATCGAGTTTTTAAATTCTTGCAAACAACAATTTCACAGTCCTTGACTTCGCGTTTTTCTTCACGAATCATCCCTCAATCATCAATCCAATTGCGAATCAAAACTCATATGTTCTTGCTTTATCGATTCATCGACTACACTCATACAAATGCGAACAATACTCAATTTCAAAATCGATTGAAACTTATAGCAAAGCTAAATCCAACTTCGCATTCAAAGCACACAAGTGTTATTGATTGCATTCATGAAATACTAACAAGATAATATATTATAATACAAATATACATATTTTAGGTGGTGAAATCGTAACAGCCTAACAATTTGGTATGCAACTTTATTAAATCAATAAAAAAAGTTATGCAAATTGGAAAAATAAATAAAAATATATCTTTTGTTGTTTTAATTAAGGAAATAAATATTTTATATGAATACTCACCTGGAAAAACGCATATTATAATTGTCTAATTTAATCGTAACAGCCTACCAATGTACTTTCTTCTTCACTGTTTGATTGTTTTTTTCTGTGTGCTGATTATAATTGTCTAATTTAATGTAAATTTTTTTTTTTTTTTTTTTTTAACTTGCAAGGTACAATGGAACATATTACTCCTATAAAGGAAATTGACTCAATCAAGGACAATGCTATAATCTGTAATTTATCATCTTTTAGTTTAATTTTCTAAATATATGTGTGGTTGTCTATGTGTGTGTGTATCTCTTTAAAAATTCTGCAATTTCATCATTTTATGACCCCCATTTGCGAAGTTGAGTATTTATTTCCGAAAATGCGAAACTCCAGGGACAATATTTGAAAATTTCTGTTTTCTTCCCCAATTCGCATTCTACTGTGAAATACTTCGCATCTTCATTCTTACACCCTTCGCATCCCTTCGCATTAATCACCTTCGCATTTTAACCTAATTAATCAAATGCAAACCACAAAATTTTCATTACAGATGCGAACACAGTTTAGTTTTTGATATAAGTTGAAACAAAGTTATTTTCTTGCATTTAGCTAAAGTGAAAGTCTGAATGATATGATTCATATTGAAATGAAAGCGCATTGCTATTAAATTATTATCATCAAATTATTATATAATGTAGAAGTTCAAAATGCAGAAATCACAATTAATAGATAAAACTACAAGTTACGTTATTGCTTTTTTGTAAAGTGGACGAAAACTAAAATTGTATTTTTAATAAGCATTCTCATGCCTTTTTAAGAATACATGAAAAAGATAGACTATTGTTTTTACTCTTCAAAGCTAGCCCTTGTTTCATTTTTAACATCTGTCCACAACAAAAGTGCAGCCACACTATGCATCTTCTCATGTCTAATAGGAAGCTCGGACTCTGCATCATGTATGTTTAGCGACAGACTTAAGCTATCATGGATTGCATTATCGTCAAATACTAACCCTTCTTTGGAGACAGTGACAACATTTGGTTGTGTGAATGTTGTACCCCACGGTGAGCAGTAGCAACTCCTTTGGGTAGTTATTTCGGGCACCAAATTTTTATATCTAACAAATTTGTCTACTACCTTGACAAATTGTAACCATCTTCAAAAAGAGAACGGGAGATCAAAAGATAGTTTTCCCTCGTACCAGAGCCACTTTTGATGATGTTGTCTAACCTACCTATAAAAAGCATGACATGTGAAACCATGAGTCCAAAAGCGGGATCTAAAAAAATCATAATGATGTATGATTTACTAATTTAAACTGCCCAATAAGAATTATAAACAACAATAAGTCTTGATTCATGTTTGTTCCAACATTAGACATTTAGACTTTGTGGTCACAGGTTTACCAAATGGACTCCCACTCATTCAATCAGGAAGTTGTAACAGAGCAAACAACAATGTTAGTTATATCAGATTACAACTACAAACAACATAAGAAAATGATAATAAGAATAAAGACCAATGTAATGGTCACAAAACATAACTTATATTTGGTTTCAGTGTCCTACTTTTTATTTATTTCTTTGTTTTTTATAAAAACAAATTTAAAGCATTATTTTATTTCTATGGTTAAAACAAAAATGTACCTGAGTCATTTTACCATTACGTCCTACATTCTTATTAACTTTTATTAGTATTAAAATAATTATATTATTATTAACATGTAGGCTCTACTCTACTCCACAACTCACCCGCCCACCTTGCAGCCATTCCCTTTCACCCCCTCCCTCATCTACAATCTATAAGAACATAAACAATTCATCCTAACCAACAACAACAAACATAATCAGCAGTCCATGTAGGATAACAAGTTTAAAAACTCAGAAATTGAAACTTGCGAATATAATGAAAATGACCTTGCAGAAAAGACGAAAAGAAACTTTCTAATATGAAGTGAAAAGGAATGTACAATAGTTGCAGAAGAAAACCTATCTTTATTCATATTAAATTAAAAAGAGATATTAGGGCAGAGGCTGAATTCAATATTATATTTTTATGAACCCTAAACCACTAACAAACCCGAGTTAGATACTCAGGTCCACTTCTTTCACAATCACCCATTGCTTAAGCGAGCAAAGACAGTAAATTTTAAAGCATAGGAAAATAACTGAAGGTTCTATAAATAACAAAAAAAAAAAAAAGATTAGACAAAATACACGACTACAACACTTTCCTCACACAAAAGATTAAGATGAAAACATCTTTTAAACCCTAAAAAAAGACATACCAAAGCATTTACAAAGGGTGATGGTGAGTGGTTGTCAAGTAGTTACTTAGAAACATCAATGAGTATAAAAAAGTTCAGATTTGTTGTGTCAAGCTTGGTGATGGAGAGAAACCTAATAGCAATTTCAATAATGACTATTAAACAGAGAGGATTTGAATTTTGAATTTGATTTATGTGAAAAGAGATATGAAGGCTTGAAAATCAAAAAAATAAACTGAAAAGAAGGAGTGCAGAAGAGAGGGAACGAAGCATTCAGGTGTTACCTTGTCATCAGATTGCTCCTCTACAAAGGGGTTCACTTTGGAGCAAGAGTTTATTGATCCTATAAAAAAAAATAATCAATACAAAGTTAAAATGATCACCAACGAAACTCGAACAAAAGGTCTAAAAGAATTATATGAATGTTTCTTACCTTCGAATCGGAATCGAGAGTGAAAATCAGGGCCTGAAATCGGTACTGCTTCTAGAATCGTGGCAACTTATACAAAGCAAAACAAAAATTCAACACAATCCATGGTGAAAATCATTACACTACATAACAAATCTAAACTTTTTAGCAAAATGTCGAAAATAAGAGATATAAATGATGCTTACTTGAAATCGCGGTCTGGATATGAACCAACCAACAGAGGCAATGGAAGTTACCAAGGTTCGACATGCGTGATGATGGCAGGATTGAGTGTCGGTGGTGGTGGAGTGAACGCGGGATCGTAAGGGTGGTGAGAGAAAGAGTTGAAATTCAAGTGAATGATGTCTATCGGTGGCGTTGATGGTGGCAGAGATATAAGGGTAGTGTTTCTTGTCTCGGCTTAAGGTAGAAGCAGGGCGGCAGAGGGGGTTGCGGCCACCGGTGGTGGTAACGGCAACGTCGGGAGGGTGGTAGTAACAGAGGCCTCAAGAGGGTTGTGGTAACGGATAGAAGAGATGTTGCTGGTGTGATGGTAGTTTGGAAGAAGGAGGAGTGAGCATCAATTCAAGAAATGGTCTTTTTTCAGTGACGACGATTGATTTAGGGTTTTGGTGAATTACTATCAATCTAGGAAAAACAGAGAAAAGAAATTCAGTAGCATATTTGTTATCAAAATTCAATCACATCTGTACAGTCGGAAATGTCCAATGCAAAATTGAAATCTCTCGCTTCAGAAGGAAGTGTGATAACAAAGGTGCCTTTATTTAATTCTTTAGGCTCAATTCCATATCGTTTTAGTAAACCAATGACCTACAAAACAAAAGCAAATCTTTTATTCTAAGTATTGAAAAATAAAATTGAATAAAAAATACTTGTACCATTGGTTTCAAAACCGGTTTCGTTTCTCGATCTTCAGCATGTCCCGTTATCACAACAATTTCCTTTCCAGCTGTTGTAAAGAATAAAAAATTAAACAAAAAGACATGAAAAGATATTAAATAAACTAATATTAATGATCATACTACGTAAATTGTTGAACAGCCACAAGTGAAGCTTCAAAAACCACATTGCCTCATATCTAAATTGTCCATGAAGATCAATCGTGATTTTGTTGGTAATTTCCATATTCCTGAATTGAAGGATTCATTAAAGAGGTCATTAAATTAGAAACATAGATTTAAAAAATAAAAAATAAAAATAAAAATAAAAAACCAGAAACATAATTTATAAAAACCTGTATAGTAGTAGCTTGAAGTAATTTTTCTCATCTTCGACCTCGATCTCCTTTCTTAAGTTCTCTGCTTCATCCATCTTTTGATTTCCAAGAAATAAACTTCCTTCGTTGTAATATTTAGAGGCCTGCATTAAGAGAAGATAGAAAAAAGGTGTACATAAAAAGGAGACAGAAAAAACTGAATATCGCTAAGATCAAAATTATTACCTCTTCGACCAAAGAATTGGCACGACGTTCAATTTGTTCTAAATCTTGAATAAGATCTCTCATTTCTAAATTTCTTCTGATATCTACAATAAAAATAATAGTTTTATTGATTCTTTCTATTAGGGATGAGAATTTGACCCGAAATCCTAAACCGAACCGAATTAGGCCCGAATAAGCAATTCGATTTGGTTTGTGGGTATCTATATTATGTTTATTCGGTCCACGTTATCCAAATAACACCTTATTTGGTTCTAAATACCCCAACCCAAATAAGAGCTTATTGGATTTTACATCCCTACTTTCTATTTTACAATAAACAACAAAAATAATGTCAAGGATACTAACCTAGTGGGTTGACACCCACGTAAAGTTGGCCACATCGCAGTAATGCCTCTAAAACCGATTCCCAACTATTTGTCTGATCATCAACCCAGTCCATCTCATTATCAAAGTTGTAGTCTTTATATTTCAAGAAAAATGTGATTTCAAAAACGCCCGGTTTTTCTTCGATTTTGACATCTTTTGCAAATAAGTAATCACCGATCTGCAAAAAAAAACATAGATAGTTAATTAATATATAATAATACTGTAAAATAAACAAAACAAAATTGTACCCCTTTATGGTTTGTAGTCCCCGAAATTATAGTTATTCTACGCAAGGCTGTTTATAAAAATAAAAACTTACATATTAGTAAAGATATAACAAGGTATCTAATAATAAACTAATGTATTACTTCTCATGTTAAATGCAATCCATAGATGAATATCTATAAGACAAATTGCATTATGTGTTGACTGGTCACTCAAATTGATTTTGATTGGGTTCTGACGATCTCTATGCCTGAAATATAAACATCATAGTTGTTAATAACTTTATTTTTTTGTATAACTAATTGGGAGACCCATGCATTACATTGGTTAATTTAAAAGAAAAAAATTAAATATAAAAAGTCAATATTTGAGAACTTTGAATTTATAAGAAAATAAGAAAAAAAATGAATTATTATAACTGAAATGTTTTTTATTTTTTAAATTTAAACAAATAATTTAAATAAATAAACATAAAAAACTACAGAGCTTTAATTTGAGAATTTTAAAATTTAAAGGTAAGTTTATTAATAAAATTGATATCAATTTATTACTATAATTATTGCAATTATTACATTAAAATATTATGTGAAATTTAATAAAATAGAAAAGCTCATAAAATGACATGTGGAAAAAAAAATTAATTTAAAATAACCACAAAATAACATTTGGCAAATTGAATGAGAATGTGACATGTGACGAAAAAAAACATCCTTTTTTAGAGTAGATTAAAAATAAACTTAAAACTAACCTTAATTCAATCAATTTAAAACTCTCCAGTTTTTTGTTCCTTGCTAGATCCCTTTCTAGAGCTGGTCTCAATATCTCTTCCTACAAACAAACGTCATTTAAAAGTTAAAACTATCCACTTTTTGTTAAAAAAAAATGCAATTTTTAACAAAAGAACTTTACTTTTCATAAAAAAAAAAAAAAAAAAAAAAAAAAAAAAAAAAAAAAAAAAACTACATGTTTAAATAAAAATAACAATATTAATAAAAAACTGCATTTTAATAGCTTTTATTTGTAAAAAAACAACAAAACAGCACCATTTATAACGTTAATGTTAGTGCATTCCCTGTACTTTAGAGTCAACAATAATGCTTACACCTTTTACTTTTGGTGTTACAGTGGGTTTTGAGCTATTTTCTGTAATGGTGATTATGTTCACCATACAATGAGGTAAATCTTTTCAATTTATGGCTCTTTAGATTGTCTTGCATATTCTTCTTAGGCAGGTTAGGGATTTATGGACATTGATCAGGTAGTGGAGGTCCTAGACACTAAAAAGAAATTCATATTAGCATTTATTCATGACAGAAAATACCTCTATAAACCAAATTGATCGACCCCATATGATAACTAATGATTGTATTAACGGAAATGAGAGAAATGAGCCACATAAAAATGGAAAATCCTTCAACTTCCATGGGAAGCAGATATTATTTGTTCATTATGATATTTTATTTCTTATGTTTATAGATGGAAATTGAAAACTAACAATTATTTAGCTATTATTTTATTTTGTTCTAGATGAAGCCTTTAGATATATGGTGCAATCCCCATTGTTAGAAAGACAAGACAAGACGGGGTACAAAATGAAAGGTGAACTTTTACTCTATCTTTTTATTATATAAAATTCCTCTTCAAATTGATATTAAATAATAATATGGAAATTAGATCTTAGAATCTGATTTATCAATTATGGTGTTTTCAATGTTAATGATGATTCCATTGATCCATTCCTATACACCTCAAAAATGGAATTATCTTTGCGACACCGGATAAACAGGTAAATCTCTCTGTTAAGTCAAGCCAGGGCTTATATTTAAGAAAATGAGAACACGATTAGGGAAAAAGAAGGAAAAATAATTGAGGAAAGTTTTTTTGTAAAAAGTCAAGGAATTTGGTTTGAAAGAATCAACCTTCATTGGTGGTGGGATGTAAAGGGACAGAGGCATAGGGAGTGATCAAGTTCCTTTAGCAAACTACTTGCACTTAACAAAATTATTGCACTTCTTGGCCTTTTACAATTTTAGGACATGAACAAGTAGTGCCCATATCTGCATCATTTAATTATTTTATGAAGTTAAAATATTGATATTTATTGTTTTGTGAACAACCATATATTTTCAAGGGTGGAGAGAATGGAACATTAAATTGGCACTTAATAAGTACTAATGATAATCTGACACAATCATATACATTTCTGATAGACCCCTGTTGAATCTATCGTATACTCCCGACATACTAACAAAATTACTTGATAATATTAAGATAATTCCCAGTCATTCGAGAGGAAAGGGGCTCTCCAAAAGAACAAAGTTCTTTACAAATCAATTCTCAGCTACTGACTCTAAAACAAAGGACTATATATACTATTACAAGAGACAAGACAAAAGGGAATCACAGCCAACATACTCAGGTGCTCTTCCCACTAACAAAACAGCCAATAGCAACCATAATACCATAAAAGACCATTCTACCCCTGGCCAAAAAGATAACCGAAATGTGGGGGTTTATCAATTTCCAAGGAGTGTAGGAGACAAACAAAGGATGGAGTGTATGTATACACAATTTTTTTGCTTTAGAATTCTTATTTGACTATCATAATGTGTGATTTTGTTAATATTTGTGCAAGTGTGATAGGAACTTACGGTAAAGAAATAAATTTTTTTTGAAACATAAACTCATCTTTAAGGCAAAAAACGGAAGCAATAAGATTGCACTTCTTTTAGTTCTTAGTTCTACCCACTTTTAGCATTTACTTTATTATTTACACTCAAAATATAAAATGCATATATAAATAAATTTCCTTTATCTATTATTAAAGTTAATATTGGCAATTAATCATATTCCAGAATTGTGTAGATAGCTACTTTTGTTGATGAAATATACCTTTTTGTTTGATTCCCTTTTTAGTGAGCTATGTTTATTTGTTCTATGATCATAGTATAAGTTTGTCCCTTTATGCACATGGGATATATATATATATATATATATATATATATATATATATATATATATATATATATATATTACATTATTCCAAATCTTGAAATTACCACCTGGCTTTCCATAAACATCTTTTCCACTATTTTTTTGATTCATATGTTACTTGACTATGTGAGTACAATGGACGAGTATGGTTTCAAACCAAGTGAGTTAGAACCTGATCACAACAAACCAGTTGAGTTAACCAAATCAAGGCAAGTACATGTGAATTAACTCCAACCAAGAAAATACATATCACTTGAAAAGGATTGATCATCACATTGTGCAGGTTTTAGTTCAAACACATTCGTTTTTTAATTTTCAGTAAATTTCATTTTTAGTCCCTAAGCTATAGAGAGCTCTCTCGGTTTGGTCTTTTTTATTTTATTATTTTTTTTTCTTTTTTTCTTTTATATAATACTATTTTAAAGTTTTTTTGCTCCCGGGGCCATCAAAAGTCAACATACCAGTCTTTAAATTTGTGAAAAGAATAGTACCATTTTCTTTTGGTGTAAAAAGAAAATTACTTGCACTTTTGGTCCTTGTGGTACTATCTATTATTGAACCATGTGGTCATGTGTTGTCAATTTTACAAAATTTAATTATTGTTAAATATTTTAAAATGATCAAGATTGGAAAAACATAAACAGAGGGCAACGTACTTTCTTTGATGTTTTTGGGTTAATTGCAAAAAAGTAAACTTGATTACATGAAATAGCAATGTACTTTCTGTTTTTGCAATTAATCCTAAATGAATCATGTTGATTCAAGCAATTAATCCAGTAGAAGGTCTGAGGCAGTATTACCTAACTTGATTGATTTTATATTGCAAGTTTTGATGGAATTGACACCAACTGTTTTTGAATCCTTTTAACTTCATAACTTAACTTATTATAATCGGACATTGTACATAACTTAAACATTTCCTAATTCTAACCTTTTTTAAGCTTATAGTTATAGTTATTGAAGAACAGTTTACCTCAGCTGAAAGGTTGAAGAGACGTTGCTGGATACTCGTTGAATCTTCCCTGATACGGTCAAACGTGTCATTTTTTGTAACACCTACAAGATCAAAATACAAAAATACTTTTAGGTTTTCTAAAAATTCCCCTTCAAAGTATGACTTGAAGAGCCTTGAACCCCTTACTTGACGGATCTACATCTCCATGTAGTTTTCCAGAGGACTTTAACGCATTTTTTAAATCCACCCAATATCTTATGGCATTAAGAGCCATTGTAAAGAGAGAACCCCAACAACTATCCAATGTAGAGAGAACCACATAAGAATGATCACGTATGTAAAGACCAATGAAAACATCAACTAATTAGGGTTATATAAGGAACAACCAAGCTTACCTAGAAGTAAAGGTTACACTTGATGACCAAATGGCACACTTAGTGTATCTATGTGTGTGAATGGTGCTCCTGGGTACAAGTGATATCCAAGAAAAGAAAAACTAATCATTTAAGCATGCATATGGATCAAAATTCAATAAAAGTAACTTGAGAACTAGGGTTTTTTCGAAAGAAAAGTAAAACTCACCTAGGATAGTGAATACTTCAAGTGTGGTACCACGTGAATGCTCCAACGTGAGGGGTTTCGAGATGACCCACCTAATTCACAAGTGATGAACCAAAGATTACATTGATTGAATGTCAACGACAGATAGATGAAAAAATCTCAACAACTAGCATAGAGATTACAGAGGTGTTCTTACAATAATCAAGTTGTAGATATGCGTGAGTGTTGCGGTTCCGTACTGTGGTGAGGTCGCCGGTTGTCGCGTGTGTAGGGAGGCTGGCGGTGGTTCACTAATGGGACAAGAGGGCGGTGGTATAGACGGTTGAAAAATTAGGGTTTTTGGAGAATATTTTGAATAGAAAGAGGGAAAAGGGGATTTAAAATAATTGATTTTATTTTTAGGGCTTGAGGGTAGTACATACCTGTCATGGTTTCCAGCATTTACACTATTTTTGTGTAAAACTAACACCAAAACTCTTTTCAACTCCAACCACACTAAAAAATTACACTAAAACATAATTTAATATTATAAATTATAAAGAATAACAATAAAAAACTAAAAACAGTTAAAATAATACTATTTAAAAGGTGTTTGGTGTTATATAGAGGCCATATTTCTTTCCACAAAAATTCTTTTAGTGATTGATTGGAGCTTTTATGACCTATTATATAACACAAAAATAAGTCCCCCGACCTAATTTTCCTACCGAAATATTTTAAGTAGGATTTTTGCAATAAATTCGGTTTTTTTAAATGTATACAAACAAAATCACTGATTTTCAACAATTTACGAAATTAAACTTAATCAATTTTGTAATTTACCTAATTTGTTTATATGTTTGATGCATTTTTTCTTACTTTTTGAGAAAAACCCAAAGTGCATTGCTATTTATGGTTTTATTCATTTGTGTTGTACACTTTCTTAAGTAATCATGTATGTAATCATGTCCAATCAACTCTAAAGATTGATGCTTGTGAAGTTGACTGAAAGTGGTTATGTTTAGTCAAGTGAGACCTTTCAAACACAACACACATATACCACATAAAAACAAAACACACACACCAAAAAACAATGAAGGGTGTAATATTTAATGGACCGAGCCTAAGGACACCTGGTGCCTAATCACAACCACATTTTTTATTGAAAATATTTATCGTTTCTAAGTTTTGGTCCTTTTGGATCATGATGGGGATTTATGGCAGATGTATTTCAAAAGATGATCTAAAATCAATGTTGGAAGATAATAAAATGGGCGATGAGGCCACCATTGAAGATATAATATCAGAAATTCATGCGAATGTTGTAAGTTATACTATGCAAGTTATTATAAATGAATCATACTGTTTGAATAGAGTGTTGTATGAGATGCTATTATGACCCTGACAGGATAGCAAAATCAGCTATGAAGAATTCTGTAAAATGATAAGAAGCTAAAAGATGAGGTTGAGCAAATCACCCAATTTATTTCAAGGGTAATCGGTTGAGATCCATGTCCACTTGGTGAATTATCCATTGCATATTCTTTAGCTTCTGAAAAATTACAGGTTTTAACTCAAATTTAACATTTTATTAATTAAATTGACGTGTCTTACTCTCATTAATGAATTGTTAATTTACCTTCACTATTTCTTGATATGCCTTGCGATTGTGTCAAAATGGGGGTCAACACCTTGATATTCTTGAAGTCGTGTCACCTACAAATCCGTATAATTGTGTCAATTCATGAGGGCATTATCGTCTTTTGCACATACAAGAGTTCAAGAATGAGTCACTGTTTGTCCTACACTAGTGATCATATGAAAATGATGGAAAAAAACAACATACAACCTTGCTGTATGCAAGTGAAGCTTCTTCTGTGGCTTCCACAAGATATTTACCATAAAATTACAAAAATACCCTTTTAAAATCACAAAGAGAATTTTTTTTTAAGAAAACACAATCTTACCTTATCTTATGCAGTGCTGGGATGATTCTTGTGTATAAGGTAGTGTATGTTTTTTGTCTGCAGATCTGCGTGACCTCTTCTGTCTGCACCGTGCAGACCACGCGCAGACATTAACCTTCGCAGACTGTTTGTTTTTTTAAAGACTGCAGACCTAAAAATGTATGCGCGCCCTCTTCTTGGCGCAGATGTGGACCAGAGTCTTTTAACATCTTCTGACATCTTCTAGCCTAAAAAAACATATACATCTTTATTTTTTTCAAGTTTTTTTTTAATTTATATTTTTTGCAACTTTATTAATGATAAACAATTTGAAAAAAAATTACAAAACTTAAAAAAAAAACATTCGATGATACAAACATGATATTTTTGATAAATTTATAAATCAAAATTTATTACAATAATAGTCGTTGAAGTTGTTTATATAAATATGAAAAAAAAATCATAATATATTCTTATATTTTTTTGCCAAATTTTTTAAAACATTATTTAATACAATATATTCACCGACCCTTGCATGCAGCTGGACATTACTTAAATCCTATGATAACAAAATTAATGCTTCTTGTGAAGAAGTTATGACTGGATTATATGCTTGCATTGAGAGATTGGTTCCAGATTCTAGTATCCAATACAAGATAACCACCGAATTAGCTACATATCAAATGCAGAAGCTTTATTTAGTAATAAAATGGCAATCAGGCAAAGGAAGACAAAAGCACCAGGTTAGATTAAATGTTAATTATATTATATTAATATTATAGATTTATAATTATGAAGCTAGATTAACATTTTTTTCAAACATTGTTTCCTACAGCTGAGTGGTGGATATCATATGGATCTTCAACCCCTAACTTGCAAAACTTTGCTTTACGTGTGCTTAGCCTCACATGTAGTGCAACAAGTTGTGAAAGAAACTGGGGAGTCTTTCAACATGTATGTTATGTGACATTTAGTTTATTTTTTTTAATTACACATGCACTATGAAATGTCTAATGTGTTTTATCTCTTTCATTGTAGCTTCACACAAAAAAACAGAATAGATTGGCACAGAGTAGACTAAATGATATGGTTTATGTGAAGTTCAATCGTTCCTTGAATCGTAGAACCAACAGAAAGGACAATGTTGATCCTATCCTTCTGAATGAAATAGATGAGAGCAATGAGTGGTTGTTAGGGAGATTAGAGGAGGATAAAGATGATAATTTAGTGTTTGAGGGTGAAGATTTGACTTGGGATGCTGTGGAAAAAGCCTCAGGGGTAAATGAGCCTTTTTATGCAACCAAAGCATCATGAGATGATAGAGGAAAAGGAATAGTTGGATCTAGTGGACTTGGGTTGGTTGATGAAGAGATAGAAGAAGATATTGGCATGTCTGGTGATGAGGAGGGAGATATGGATATGGAGCTTGGGTTTGACTTTGATGATGATTGATGAAGGATGACTTAGGGTCTTTATTTTTTGGTTTCATTTTGCTGTTTGCATAACTATTAGATTTGTTTTCATTTTGCATGACCATTAGATTTTGGTTTCATCTTGCATTGACTATGGTAAACATGCATTTTGCATTTTGGTTTTTGCATTATGTTTAACCAATTATCATTACATTTGGTTACATGACTTTTATATTTGGTTTTCGTTTTATATTTTTATTGCTTTTTAGTATACCGTAAACATATATTGGTAGTTACTACTTGTGCGCCACACCTACGTGTTGCCAGCGCATCAGCCTCGCGCATCGGCCTCCCGGACCTTAATCGCATGAGTGCGCATTGCGCTTTTTTAAACCAAGATTTTGTTTATTATGCAATTAGCCTAAATTAGAAATTAAGAATAAAAAAAAATCATCATGTCTTATTAAGAAAACATGAAAGAGGTTCCTCACGTATTTATGTTGATGTTGTAACTTCAAATCTTTCACAAGCTTAATAAGCACACCAAGTATCTGCTCCAACACCTATGAAACAAACGTGAATTCAATGAAACAAACGTGAATTCAAGGAAGCCAATAAATAGAAAGATTACAATTTACAAATGAAATAGTTATTACATACATTCTAAAATTCTGCAAACTTTCTGCCAGCAGAAAATAGATCTTCACGTAAACCTGTTTCTTCGCTTTCATCTCCTCAATCATTAACTTTACTCTGTTTTTTAAATAATTAAGAAAGTATGTTTAGATTCTCTGATAAAATTTCTTCTTAAAAAATGGTATAAAAGGTAATTTAAAACAACAAAATAAAAAGCGAATGAAAATTACAGACCTTTCTGGAAGCCGAGCCCCTGAATGGGTATCGACAGGTATCTTGTAAGAGCTTTGGGTAGGTTCAGATGGAACTTCTGCACACAAGATCTATTACTCTGATCTCCCATGGCCAATAGGAAAGCTCTTATAACTTAAAAAATTGATGTAAAAAAAATTAATAAATAAATAATTACCAGTAAATTTTCAGCAAGCCTCTTCTGTTTACTACCTAATCCTAAACCAGGCAAACCGATCAACCCATCGCCGCCCCCACTCAATTGAAACGTTGACTTTCTCGGCATCGGAGTTCTCATTCTCCTGTTTCTTTGAGTTAAAACCAGACGGCATAGAAAAAAATGACATACAGCCACCGCCGCTGTCAGTCCTATTTGCTTTCCTTCTATCTCCGATCCCGCCCAACCCCAAACTTCCAACCGCCAGTCTTCTTTCGACAACAGTGGAACCTCGGCAATCGATAGAGGAGGTGGTAGATTCTGATCGGAAGAAGACGTCATCTGCTTTTGC